CCCCCCCCGCCCCAAAAATATTATGTGGAGAGGGCTGTTTTTCAGAGGTAGAAAGTAGGAAAGACAGTTTCAGTCTCTCAGCAGGCTTCCTGTCAGCGTGGGGAGAGGAGGAGGTAGACAAGAGAGACCGGGTGGGAGTGGAGACAGAGGAGGAAAAAAGATTTGTCTGTGATTTGTCTGAGGTTTAAAAGCAAAGTTTTGATTGATGAGGAGAAAAGGTGCCTCTCTCTGGATTGTCTCCAGCGTACCATCCGTTTTCTTTCTTCTCTGCTCTGATGTTGTTGTTGTTTTTTATCGTGCCATTTGAAGCCTTGGCTCTTTTTATCACATCCGTTCCGAATTCGCGCTTGTTTACTGTGTTTTGATTTTCATACAGTCAAAAGAACTGAAGAAAAACAAAGAGGACTTGTTGTTCCCTAGCCTAAAGTTATCTAGAATTGTTTTTTTTTGCCCTTTTTTATTTAAGAGAAGAAGAAAAATACCTCAAACATATGCGGGCAACCAAGAGGGGCAGCATTCAGTCTGCTTTAACAGCCGCATTTCCCTTAATGTACCTGTATGTGTTGCCAGGTGTCCATATTTCTCAGCTCAACAGACAGACTTATGTCTTTTTTCTGCTCCATGAATGAGCTAATGCTGTGCAGTCAGCTGAGGAGGTTACTATAGAAACTAGCCTTTGCTAACACAGAACGTAGATGGGGGATGTTCCTGACAGAATTGTAACCACAATTTAAGTACTTACTGAAATTCAGTCTGTGCTCAGAATCAACACACACAAGCACACATGTGCACTGAGGTAAGTAAATTAACTAAAAGGTCCAAGGACGTATAAAGTCATTTTCTTTCTTTTTTTTCCCCGTTTTTTTGGTCCAACATTTTAACGGGCCCATTATAAATGACTGTGGCCACTTTGTATATCATCTGTTATTACCGTCTAAGCTTTATCATTTAAATTTAAATCTGGCAAACCGGTTGGACAAGGGAGATTGAGTCAATCTAAAACGCCAGCAGTGAGAAACTGTTCAAGCCAGCATCTGCATATTAATGTTGTTATTACCACAGCTTCTGTTGATGCCAGTTTTCTTTTCATTTGGCCACATTTATCGAGTGTTGTCAGGGTCTAACATGTGTGTGGCGAGGAAAAGGCCGCAGACAAAGAGAGCTAATGGATGTATGCTTTCATACACTGGCTGCCTGACCTTTTTCTGTTGCTGTGAGTCTGCACAGCTTTCTGTCACTGTCGCAAGTCTCCCACTTGTGTTGCTGTGATTTCTATAGCTGTGGCAGTGAAAGGATATTTGACTTAGCTGAGCTGCAGATGGAATGAGGGTAAAACCAGATAATTCTATTGGGTAAACACAACTACTGAATTGGCAATAAACTACTGGAAGTTTGGAATCCAGTTATGAAATGAAATATAAGACAAAAGATACAATTTACATAAATTTATATAAATTCAAATAAAGGGTGAATGCAGAGAAGAATAGTGCCATGCAAAACGTCCTGAGCCACCCCTGATTTCTCTCTTTCTCTTAGAAAATGAGAAATAGGCACAGTGAGTTACTGAAATCTGCCAACATATATGAACATTTATTCTTCAACAGAACCTGAACTCTTTAACACAAGCTTTCTTTTAACTTTATTTTAAGTGGTCTTCATGCCTGATTGTATTCCATTCTGTATTTTTCTATCCAACTATGATTTACTGCATTGGCAGCGTGTTTGGGATCATTGTTGTGCTGAAATGTTACGTTGTTTCAAAATCTGACGGTACTTTTCTGCATTTATAATGGAGCCCCAAATCATGATAGAGCTTCCACTGTGTTTTACGGATGGTTGTTAACCCGTCTACTTAAATAATTTCCAATCAATCCCCATTGAACAGTAAATGGACCAACTAAGGCATCTCTCAGGTCTTGTGTCAGGTCTTTGTTGGTTTTGTTCCCCTGTTTTTTAAGGACATGGATACCGCTCATTTGCTATAGATAGATTCTGTTGTCCTCAACTTTTTAAAGTAAACAGTGTCCAGATAGTTTTCAGTTAGTAAGTCTTTAAGAATCAACATGTTGGAGGAAAAATACTATTTTATGCTTGTCAAAGTGTTTTATCTTTGGCATTTTTGTAGATTTAACTAAAGAAATGGAAACAAATGACATGTTTTTGTGACAGACTGCTAGTAATAAACTGTTGAAAGACTTGATTTAAAATAGATTCTTTGCTAAAGTGTCTGTTATGTGTCGGTACATATGATTAGATGATTCATAGGTAAGCGCTAACTGTGGCTTAAAAAAAAATATTTGGAAATGGTCAGGTATAGGAAGTGGACTGAAAATGGGTGAAAAAGCAACCAAAGAACTTCGGAAATGCTAGAGAACTACCAAGACGTCTTAAAAAATTACAAGAACATCTGGCTTCTTGGAAGCAAAATATAATTGGTTATTGGTGGTTATTAAGAAATTTAAAAAAATGAAAATAGTCTTTCTTACCAGATTAGCCAGAATATAGTGGTAGCTCTTTGCATTCTTTCCTTGATCTACAATCTGAAAGATAAGAACAAAAGAGACATAAAATAAAATGCGTGCCACACACACGAGCACACAAGGTTGTTTCGAATATATTCATGTGTGAGAAAGTGCGAGGAAGGATATGACACTCTCTCTCGGCATCACACCACAGACAGGACAGTGTAAAGCATTTGATCTTGTGCAGGACAGGCAGAAAGTAGGTTAACAGGAAATCAGAGCAAAGGGACTGGCCTTTGAACATGTTGGCTTTGAGAAAATGACAGTTCTGGAGTCAAAGAATGTCCTTTCCTCCCTTTCCTGCCAGTGATGAATGGTTCTGCTATGGAATAAGTGTTCTTACAGCACTGCTGTCTTTATGCAGATATTTATTCCAAAGAAAATGGCACAATATCTACCAAGCAAAATGTATCAACAGAAAATTTTGATACATAACCTGAAGAGGGAACAACTTAAAAATTAAATATTAAAAAAAAGAAGCAAAGACGGAGAAATATACACAGTTTAAGACATGAGGCAGACTCTTCCTAATCCTACTAGTCTTCTCTCTGCTCTCAGTATTGTTCCCTTGTGAGCTCTGTTTTGATCTTTGATCTGATATTTAAATATTTTACAGAGTTCTACTTCCCTGGAGCTCCATCAAGGTCTAACAATACCATGAAATAATGCAGGCTGTTAGTGATGAACTGTGCCAGCCCTTCTCCCACGCTTACACTCTGCATCTCTGTCCTGCCTGCGCTGTCATAATTCTTTCACTGCAGGCGTCGCAGGTCGGCCAATCACAAAGGGCCAGGACACTTTAAGAGATGGTTTATTTATATTATGAGTGGAGCAGGTAAACCGAGCGTCACTTTTACTTAAATCTAAATGTAGATTAAGTATATGATTAAAAAGAAAAAAATGTCATGCTTAGCTGGTGGCTAAATTCTTTTTTTTTCTTGGCTAAATAACGAGTCTGCTGTTGTGTATAGCTACAGCAAATTTGGTTGTGTGTGTGTGTCCTGACAACAGTCGCATAAAATAAGGTCAAGTGAGCAGCATTAATTTAAAGCTTAATAACAGCCTTAACCCGGTGGATATGAAGTTTGCTTCATGCTCTCCATGCAGGCAGTGTGGTAAACATGGTTTTTCCTTTCTCTTTCTCTTTGCAAGCATTTTGCTTTGTGTATACAGTGCAAAGTGCACTCATTTGTTTGTGTGGTGTTCGTGTGTGCGTCTAATGATGCCGTAGGTCATGACAGAAGGTGGCATTTGTTATTAATGATGACCTCAACACGAGGGGAGCCCTGCGGCCAAGCCTCAGGCAAGGAAAAACAAGAAGGAGGGAGGAGAGACACGAACCAGTACTGACACCAATACACCGTACAACAGGGGGAAACACACAGCCACACTGGACTGTCAAATGGAAAAGTTTTGGCTTTGAGTAGCTTTTTTTAAATTATGCATGCAGATTTTAAGAGTCATTCAGAGTTCAGCCCAAAAAGAGCAGGTCACCCTTTTTGTCTCTCAGTTGGCAAACCCACTGAAACATCTCTGCGGTGGCTTTTCTATGAAACTGCCTCTACACTCGGTTTGTGTGATATACTGTCAGTGGCTGTATTGTAAGACAATATCTGTACAGTATGAGATGAATTAGATGCGATCAGTTGTGAGTTTAAAGGGCAAACCAAGCAGAGGTGTTGTGTATATATGTGTTTCTCGCTGGATGGGTGCACAGGCAGGGCAGCGTGGAGGCAGGGAGCAGATGTCGGTGATTGATGGTGGCTGTCTGAATGGAGAACTTCTCGGGCTCAGCTTCTGTAAACTGGTGAGAACTGATGCAATAACCTTAACTGTAGACACCAGGCCATCAATAACATTCACACAGAGCAGTGATAGCCTACAAATACAGATGGGGATGTGTGTGCACTTTTTTTTCTTCTCTGGAACAAACATAAAGAACTATGACAGTCAGACTGATAACATGCGTGGAATCAGCAAGCAAAACAAATTACACCTTGGTGCCTTCATATTATGCCAGAATGCCTGCTTGTAAAAGGCAGTAAACCCCCCCCCCACAAAAACCAACAAAGTGAACAAAAGTTTTTGAAATAATGGGTTCTTGGTTTCAGACAGCGGTTGAATAAAAGCAGCTCATTTTGAGTCAGCAACCACTGATTTTGCTGATTGAAAGACAGCTTTTCTTAGCAGCCTGGTAATTAAACTCGGGTACTGTACATGAGTTAGATGAAAAATATATTTTAATGTTTCCAGTTTGCTCATTTTAAACTGAGAACCCTGTGAAAAGGGTCTCTTGAACCTAAGTACTTCATTCAAACTCAAATACACAGTGGGCCAAAATTCAAAACTGGAACAAAGTCGCGGGCTAACGTTAATATTTATTGAAATATATTTATTCCTCCAGATATAAGAATGAATCTTTTCTTATGGACTCAAACACATTTTGCTGAAAAACTTAATATGGAACAAGGAAAGCTTAATACTAAACAATATATATATTAGCTGTATAATACCAGTAGGCCAGCTCTAATAGTAATTTGGTATGGCTTCGCGGGCCAAATGTAATTAGGCTGCGGGCCAAATTTGGCCCGCGGGCCAGAGTTTGACACCTATGAGCTAGATGTTTGAATGTTTGCCAAATTTGCTAGTCTGTGTCAGAAATAATAGTCCGTTTAATGGATTATTTTTCTTTAATTAATGCAGAAAGGCAGTTACTCGCTCAAAGATGGTTCAAAGATGACACCACTGGCGACTACCTGGGGCTACAGCCCTGACACACAGCCAGCACCCTACTCACGTTCTTTCTACCAGTGGAAACAAGCTGGGGAAAAATAAACTGATGACAGCTGTCCTAACTAGCACTGATGTATAAAACCTGGAGAATAACAGGAACATAACCAAGCATCCATAGCCAGGTGTAATCATGTTCTGGATGTGAATGCTAGCAAGCGTAAACCAACGCGGCTGCTGTTAGTATCACAAAGGTTAGACATACTCTGCCATCTAATCTGATGCTGTGTGTTTGTAACTTTATAAAGGACAAAAAATGGCCCACATTTCAGCGGCTTCCAAATAATATTGAACAAGGAACACGATTGACAATTTCATATTGCTCCTGTAACACACATAACATATTTGCTGTAATGTGGACTCAGTTTAAATGTTTTCTTAGGATCTTTTACACTAGTCTAACTTTTTTCTCTTGGTTACACGACTAACAAATTAGTGATTTAAACAAGAGAAAAACAAACTGTAGCTACTGTTGGTGAAATGCACCCATACAGCTGTCTGTGGACTTTGCTAATAAAGCTAGCTAGCATTAGCCCATAATGTAGCGCTGTTCCCTCTCATCCAGCTATATTCATTTATGGCTCCAAACAACCTAATTGCCAAAAACGCCATTTCAAAAACCAGTGGGTGATGACACAGTGTGTGTGTCCATCACAATATTCTTACAAGCGTATAAACATTCACTTTTCATATTTTTAAACACTATTTTTTAGCAGTTGCTAAGGAAACTGCCAACATAACATCCTAGTACTGGATCATGTGTAAACTGCGGTGGTTACTGTGATATCTTCCTTTAGCCAAACTACTGTTTTTGTGAATAATTAGTCAGAACCATTTTCTTCATATTATCTCCCTGTTGTGTTTTTAATAATCCTTTATAAAGGTAACAACAAAGAGACACCGCCTTCATGATATAATCTGGAGTTCAAGGGACCTGCTCTGCCTAGTTACAGTTGCTAAGCTATGGTTGGACAGTCTGTGTTTGATGGAAGGGGCTGTGAACAGTCAATTGCGATGATAGGATCCTTTTCCTTTTAACAATGCGGAGGTGAGAAAGTGATGATCCTATCATGGGAGAACTGCTGGCTTCAAATGCCAAAGCTGCGTTATTTATCTTTTACTGTCCTTGATGCTCCAGCAGACGAGACATCACAATAGACCAACAGCCAACCACCACATTAAATTTATATCCCCTCCTTTCTTTATCTGATAAAAATGTGTATAAATTTGTCCTGAAATGTTTGTGCCTTTTTTGTATGTCCGACGAATTCTTTTAAACTTAAGCCACATACATAACTAATACTTAGCTTGACATCTGTCTAAAAGAACAGCTGTATGCTTTTGTTGTGCTATGAGGCCACGTTTTTATGCTAAAATTAGATTATACAGTGGGGCAAAAAAGTATTTAGTCAGCCACCGATTGTGCAAGTTCCCCCACTTAAAATGATGACAGAGGTCAGTAATTTGCACCAGAGGTACACTTCAACTGTGAGAGACAGAATGTGAAAAAAAAATCCATGAATCCACATGGTAGGATTTGTAAAGAATTTATTCGTAAATTAGGGTGGAAAATAAGTATTTGGTCACCTCAAACAAGGAAAATCTCTGGCTCTCACAGACCTGTAACGTCTTCTGTAAGAAGCTTTTCTGTCCCCCACTCGTTACCTGTATGAATGGCACCTGTTTGAACTCATCATCTGTATAAAAGACACCTGTCCACAGCCTCAAACAGTCAGACTCCAAACTCCGCCATGGCCAAGACCAAAGAGCTTTCGAAGGACACCAGGAAAAGTATTGTAGACCTGCACCAGACTGGGAAGAGTGAATCTACAATAGGCAAGCAGCTTGGTGTGAAAAAATCAACTGTGGGAGCAATCATCAGAAAATGGAAGACATACAAGACCACTGATAATCTCCCTCGATCTGGGGCTCCACGCAAGATCTCATCCCGTGGGGTCAAAATGATCATGAGAACGGTGAGCAAAGATCCCAGAACCACACGGGGGGACCTGGTGAATGACCTGCAGAGAGCTGGGACCAAAGTAACAAAGGTCACCATCAGTAACACACTACAACGGCAGGGAATCAAATCCCGCAGTGCCAGACGTGTTCCGCTGCTGAAGCCAGTGCATGTCCAGGCCCGTCTGAAGTTTGCCAGAGAGCACATGGATGATACAGCAGAGGATTGGGAGAATGTCATGTGGTCAGATGAAACCAAAGTAGAACTTTTTGGTATAAACTCAACTCGTCGTGTTTGGAGGAAGAAGAATACTGAGTTGCATCCCAAGAACACCATACCTACTGTGAAGCATGGGGGTGGAAACATCATGCTATGGGGCTGTTTTTCTGCCAAGGGGACAGGACGACTGATCCGTGTTAAGGACAGAATGAATGGGGCCATGTATCGTGAGATTTTGAGCCAAAACCTCCTTCCATCAGTGAGAACTTTGAAGATGAAACGAGGCTGGGTCTTCCAACATGACAATGATCCAAAACACACCGCCCGGGCAACAAAGGAGTGGCTCCGTAAGAAGCATTTGAAAGTCCTGGAGTGGCCTAGCCAGTCTCCAGACCTCAACCCCATAGAAAATCTGTGGCGGGAGTTGAAAGTCCGTGTTGCTCGGCGACAGCCCCAAAACATCACTGCTCTCGAGAAGATCTGCATGGAGGAATGGGCCAAAATACCAGCTACTGTGTGTGCAAACCTGGTAAAGACCTATAGTAAACGTTTGACCTCTGTTATTGCCAACAAAGGTTATGTTACAAAGTATTGAGTTGTATTTTTGTTATTGACCAAATACTTATTTTCCACCCTGATTTACGAATAAATTCTTTACAAATCCTACCATGTGGATTCATGGATTTTTTTTTCACATTCTGTCTCTCACAGTTGAAGTGTACCTCTGGTGCAAATTACTGACCTCTGTCATCATTTCAGGTGGGGGAACTTGCACAATCGGTGGCTGACTAAATACTTTTTTGCCCCACTGTACATTGTGAAAACATAAAAAAGAGTGAATGTTTTTACCATTTGCAGTATGTTGTTGAGTCTCTCAGTCTCACAGTCAATGATAATCTGGCCCTCCTTTCGCTTGTCCAAATCCTGGAACACCTTCGCAAAGGCATTACTCGATATGGTCTCCACATTGACTGAGGTCACCAGCCAATTCCTCTCTGCTGCCGTGTCAAGAACCTTCTGCAGCACAGACAGACCTGGAAGACAAGCAAATGAGAACATGTGTTTTTGTCAAGTGTACGGAATAACTGAAATGCGCAAAGAAAGCTCTGGAGGTAACTGTGTGGGCACCTGTAACAGAACTTCTGCAAAGATGATGAATGACTAGTTGGTATTCATCTACTGGGAGCAATCCAACAGTGTCTACATCTTATTAGACAGCATGCGAAATAAATTACATGCGGGGTAACCTCATGCTTTGTGTAGTTATATTATGAACTGCAAGATAAATTAAGACAACTTGTGAGCCAAACAGAAGCTGCACAGAAACCCAAACTGCCCCTGATAAGCTTATCCATCAGAATCTCCCTTGTAGCTCTGGTGATAAAGTGTAACGAATGCGATAGTCCATTAAGCACACTGACATATACAGGTGCACATTTCAAACTCGCACACCGCCGGGCTAAATAATCACCATTTTCATGGTAACAAACAATCAGCTAGACGACACACTAACAGTAAGCTTTAAGTCCTCCAAGCCCCAATTACAGGTGGCTCTACTCAATTACACTGTCACCAATACCCTGCTGACTCATTCAAGCATCACAGAGAAGCAGGTAGAGCAGCCAAAAAGCTAAAGGCTCATGCTAAGACAGGATATAAAAGGTGATTATGGAACACATTGATCTTGAGCTCTGATTTACAACCTGAGTCACTGTTGTACTTCTTTGCTGCTGGCAGCAGACCAATCAGATTCCTCTCAAGCTGGCAGCCGCAGTTGTTCCACAGAGTAAATAAAGTAATTTCACCCACGGCAGACTGGCAGCCATTACCCAAATGAATTATAGCAATCACAAAATTTAGAATTGCAAACTGATACACGACGTAGTTGTGTTTGCTTCTATGTTACTTAGCTGGCAAGCGCTGTTAAAGACTCCTTCGTTCCGCACATCACGCGGTTTACATATATTCTACGATAAATGCACGCAAATACTGGCTTTCCCACAACAACAGCAACAGCAGCAACAACACAGACCCTGTCAAAAGAAGAATGAGAAATGAAGTCACAGCCTCTGAAAGATGATTGCTTGGTCTTATTAGAATGCACACCAGCTGCTCTCCAGGCAATTCACGCTGCTTTTTTTGACAACAGGTCATTAAGAAATAAAAAGATGGATGGTGTTTCACCTCTATATATGACCACAATATAGCACATGTAAATAAATTAGGGAACCAGACGAATGTGAGAATGCTGAATGGAACTGATACAGAGGGGTTGGTACATGGCTATTCCTTTTTACCTCATGGTGCCGACGCATTTAACAGAAAGATGAACGATAGAGTGATGAGCACGGGGAGACAGGAGATAGTGAGCTGTGAATAAAGTCACGAGGCCGGCTGTACTTTAATGGAGTCGAGCTGTAGTAAGTGTTTCAGCACCATGGACAGCACCACTCATTGTAACCAGGACCCGTGTTCCCAAATATGATAATCCTCCCAGAGAGCTCATCAAAAACGAAAAACAAAAAAAGAAAACTGTAAATAAAACTATAAGCAAAGAGTTCCAGCTTAAGACTGAGTCAGCTCAAAAGACAGAAAGGTGGTGACCCTGTCGCCAGGTATAACTCATTCTCTCAAAGGTTGTGCTTGGTTCAGTGAAAATGATGGGCAAAATCGGCAGACCTAATCATATAATTTACTCTGGAAATGGTTTAAAAATGAATATAAAATTGTAATAAATAAGTTAGTTGCATAAATCTGAAGCCATACTTTAGTCTACGAAATATTTGAAAACACGGACCTACCAGTTTATTATGTTGGCATACTTTGCGCTTAATTATTAACAGTGAAAATTATTCAGCTTTTACAAATTACACCTACAACGCCGGGAAGTTCGCCATGTCTGTGAATGCTTTTGCAAGTCTGAGATGTGAAAAATAAAATGAACTGAATCATAATACGAGACCGTGGAAGAGCTGTAATTGTTTGTGTGATCACTCGGCTGATGAAAGCTGGACCGACCAAACTCATCACTGCTGCACTGCTGCACTCTTTTTCTTTTTTTTTCAGTTCAGTGTTATTGCGTTGGCTGGAAGATGTGAGTGAATTTTAAATGAGATCGACCACAAACATTATCTTAGCTCAGCATTTGGAGTTGACACACATGCAAATGCACAATTTATTATTATTATTATGCAGTCACTGTTATTATGGTGGGAAATTTAAATACTTAGTTACACTAGCTCCAAAAGTCACACCATTTCTAGCTTTACCCATTTCCATCAGCCACTGTGTAAAATCTTTGTATAATCCTGACTTTAAGAGAAACTCTGTGAATTTACTCATTATTTTCATTAGCAGCTACTTTTAGTACTGGGACACATTGAACCCAGAAGTTAATTGATTTTCATCTTTTCATTCTTTTGCTATTTATTTTAAATTCTTCTATTTCTTTTAAAAACCTAATATACTTATTTAGTTCTTAATCTGATTTTACCTTGGAATACAGCTGGTTAGCAGTTAAGGTGTGCAAAAATTAGTATTTGAATCTCATTAATGGATTCTAATGTTTTCTTTATTTTTCATTTGTTTTGTTACAGACGTATTGATTGCTTGCCTCACTGACCGACTGATTTACCTCAAATATCCTCTCGCATTTTTAAATGTGCTTGATGCACTCCTCTAAATCAAAGTCAGTCTGACAGGAGAACTCACAAAAATGTTCCCTCAAAGGCATACTGAGAGAGAATGATATCATAATGGAATCTGGCTGTCGTAAGCACCCTTTTGGCCAGAGGCAGTACATGGGCGACCAGGGCAACAGACAATCAAGAACAGAGAAAATAACACTTTAGCAAACTATTTCCTGAATATTGTTTATGATAGGTTTAATGGGCTATCAAATTTGTTTTCCCATTCTTGGCTTCTGAAAATAAAAATGATAGGCACATTTATTAGGGGATGCTGTAAGAGAGCAAGACAAATGGTAATAGAAAAGGGGGGAAATACTAAAGCCTCTCAGGTGGCAGGAGAGTGATAATGCATGTGATATATTTGTATGTCCTTGACTGCTTTGGATAATGGATTAAACACTGGAAAAATGCTAACATAGGTAGACATTGAATATGAATGTATTAGACTAGAAATTAGAGAGCTTTTGGTCTTTTAAATCAGAAAAATGCAGGTTTACACAGTAACAGTCTGGTCTGAAAGTACATCTACTAAGTGAGCAACACACCAATTTTACAGTAAAATACTGTATTTTTTTAAATTCTCAATTTAATAGTGTTAAAATGTTAGTGTTTAGCTATGTTGTGTTTAAACTTTGATTCCTGGCCAATAACTGGACTTTTTTAAACCAGGAAGTGAAACTTCACAAAATTTGTTTTTGTGTCCTGGGTCATTGTAGGCAACAATAATCTAGCATTTTTGTTTGTTTGTTTGTTTGTTGTCATAAGAGAAAATCACAGAAATAAATACACTGTGGCTCCTCCTCACAGAAAGTTCACACACAGTGCTCACCGCTACAGCCTATGCTATGATGGCTAGCCCTGTTAAGCTATGTTAATCTTTAGCTAGAAGTGGCCAAAGCTCCTGAAACAAAGTAAAGGTTCTGGCCAGTGTTCATACTCAGTATTGTTTCATGTAGAGGACATTCCTACAAAAGCTGAGATCTTGTTATAGTTCCAAAAAAAAGGACACAGAGTTTAGGGTCCATAGACTATCGACATATGGTTGCACTTTGTTCCTCATAATGAATTTTAAGACAGAGTACAGACAAATGATGACAAATAGTTTTGTATGGTTATGGTAAACCTTATACTTTAAATTGTACTGTACCATAATATGTTGTTGTAACTTACGAGAGATACACTGTAGAGTGTACGAGAGTTTCATGCTAGAAAATTCAATTCAGTTCAATTCAATTCAATATAGTTTTATTTATATAGTGCCAATTCACAACAGTCTCCTGAAGGCACTGTCAACTTAACTGATGCAGTGTACCTAATAAAACATAGTTTGATGAAACATTTAGAAGAGGCAAACACAGCTGCTCTATACCATACTACACAAACTGATCAAACTAAATACGATTTCTTTTAAAGGCTTTAAATAACCATGTAGGAAGAGTGACTGCAGTATAGTATCCAAGCAACAGAGACGACTGATATGGATTCTGCTGGCTCCATCCCACTACTCACAGGGGTGACCCTCTCAGACACAAATATACACACACACAGGCAGGCATACGCAGAATTCGTGAGTAGTTAATAAATGGATCACAGAAGATAAAAAATAAATAAATCTGAGGGGCATGTGTGGCCGCTACGGTCATCATGCATTGACAGGCCAAAGACTGCTGTGAAATCTCTACTGTCACTGCTTGATTGTGTGCTGTGTGGAATGACATAATGGCATCTGTCTTTTAAAGCTGACTTAAATCTGCTATTTGTCACACACAAGTCAAACACATAAGCAGATACAAGCTGCAATAAGCTGTCATACAGCCTAAATGTATTGAAGTGCGCCTGCTTTTGGGCATACACAAAAAATACACAAATCATGGTCATGCTCCAAAACCCACAACACCTGGGACAGATGGCCTGGCATTATGGGGAAAGCTATAGCTGTTTGGCTCTGGGGGAGATGGAGAGGAAGAAGCAGGAGGCTGACAGGTGTGCTACTTTATTCTTGTCTGACTATGCAGGAGTGTCATTAAAATGTTCAATTTAAATGCTACAGCACTCGTTTTTTTCTTTCATCGGACGGACAAAGGAACTGCAGCAACCCTGGTCTCTGTTGAGGAGCGCTCAATAAAAAGCTTAATCTTTCGTACCATTGTGTGATTTATCTGATAGTCAGTGCAGGTCAATATTTCTTTTCGGTGTTCCCTGTCTGTAAAAAAGTGGTGGTCTAAAATAAGCGTTCTGATGACTGCTTGTTGCTGCACAATGGCTAAAATTGACCCTGCTGCTGTCGCCATGGCAATATAAAGATGACAACTGGTGGCTGGTCTAACGACTGGTACTGGCTGTCTTCGTCTGCACGCATGCTCGTTTTCATGAGAGAAATTCCACCGTCAGATTCTGACATCCTTCTTTTTTGTAACGATTGAGGCAAGCCTAAACATCAAGTCAAACAGAGAGCCAGCAGCTTTCCTACCTGAGTTGGAACTGTACATGTAGACAAACTTGGACCATCCATAGTGTTCGATAACTCCCACCAGCGCATCCTGGAGCTCGGGCCTGAGCTGGATCACAAATTGGTTGGCTGTTTCAATGGGGAAGGATGGTGTCACAAAGCAGACGTGCAGTGCTCCACAGAAGGACATGAGCATGTTGACTGTCTTCCTGTCATACAGGCCAATGATGGCATACACACCTTTGGAGAACTGGGAGCAAACTGCAAGGGACAGAACAGAAAAACAAGCAGATATACAGGGTGTTAGTCTTTAAACCTTTGAACAATGAAATCAGCAAAAACATCAATCTAATTATCTTTTTATTGCTGTTACACAGCGTCTATTAAGCGTCAAATTAAACTTTGTCGCCATCCTGCCTACATTCGCTAGTAGGATAAGAGTGATATGGTCCAATAGGCAATTATCGTAATTAGCCTGTAGAGCTATCGTGTGCAGGTCTGAAGCTTTTCTGAGTCTAAGGTTATAGTAAGATGAATATCCAGGAAATTGAGAAACGATCAGGCTAATCGAAAAAATAATCATTTCACTGGATGTGGTTAGTCAAACTGAACTAACCACATCCCACAACAGAATTTTGTCTGAATTAAAATCAATTTAATCCATGGTTTGGATTTAATTTTGGTTTTTAAAGTGGGAGGATAGAGAGAAAGAGGAAATAAATATCTGTGGCATGCCGGGTGCTGTGAAGTCTTTAGAGCCTGAGCTATTAACTAGTACTCAATAGCATGTTTATGCAGGGCTCATCTGCTGGTCCAGCTGCATAGCATTAATCTGTGTGTTTTGCCTTCAGTGAAAGGTGGAGGTGGTGGAGGCAGATTAGGTGTAGAGAGGTTAATCAATGCATCCCCAGGGTTCCACTGACATTTTACTAGCAGCAGGAGGCGGTTTCCAGCTCTCATTTGCCTTTCTCCCTCAGTCCCTTCATTTTTCTCTCTCTCATTGTCTGTCTGTCACTCTGATTTCTTTCACACCCCCTAAATTCTTAAAATAGCTAATTTATGTTCGTGATCTTCTCTCGGCACTTTATATCCTCACCGTGCTCTCAGTAGAGCATGGTATCTTTGCACTTCCAGGTCTGGTCTGGGCTATTTTCTGCTATGGCGATGGGTGGGCCTTACTTATCTCAGTATTTACCAAACAGATTGAAGACGGTGCCTGTACCCACACGAAGGCCAGCTTGCAGCTAGGAGCTGAGGGACAGACAGAGAGCGAGGATGGCCCATACCCAAAATGCCTAACCTGTCACAGACCTGCACCCTCCGGTCAGGCACGTGTGTGTGACGGAGATAGAGGGAGAGTGAGGAACCGAGAGTGGGAGAAAAAACAGGGATATCACAGAAAAATACACGCGCGTACACGCCATGAACACGCACACACATATGCAGCCTCTAGTGCTCCAAAGCCTGGTGAGTCACCCTACTTAAAGCAAGCCCTGAAATAGACATTTTGCGCCTCGCCACACTGACTCAGTAACAGAACTATCTTTTCTTCATGCTCTTGCTAATAAATGGACACTCTCTCAGCTACTGCTTTCCACTAGCACACATTATATATATCCCCTTACAATTTTCTAGGACCAATTTGATGCGGTGTCCTCCATGTTCTGCTTGAATAAAAGGTAACGGGAGCTTGTTTGACTTTTTGTGCAGTGCCCCATTACTCTGCCCTACAGCAGGTTACAATGTTTCACAGAATATGAGTCATTTCTCATCACTTCAGTGTGTGCGTTTGGAAAAAAAACACAAAAACCATGCGACAGAGACCTCCTGCTCCGAGTTGGCAAGACAACCATGCGCCTGTCTAATTCGACATAAGCATTAGCGTAGCTCAGCAGTCCGAGTCTTGATAGCAGTACACACCGGTAGCATGTTGAGTCTGTTTGTGTGTGAGCAGCTCGTTAGTGTTGCTCCACATGTGTAACGGCACTGGACGCAGGGCTGAGAGACCTAAACTGATCTCAAAGACCCCGGCAACACCTGTCCACTCTGGCACTGCGTATCTCCTCGCCACAGTTACAGCTGCCATGGTGGCAGGACTGGGGTTGCCCTGGCAACAGTCTGTTTCTCTGGCAGGGATTACAGTAGCTCAGAGCTGCTAAAGGACTTTCGTAAGATGGAGTGGGAATTGTGGAGTGTTTGGACATTTTGTCATAATTAGGGTTTTCACCTCGAGGAATTAGCAAATTTGCAAAAGTGACTTGGTTTTGCAAAATCCTTAGATAATTTCTGAAATAATGAAAGACAGTAGGGCTTCACTGCATCCCATTTTTATTATCACTCAAAACGAGAAAGGAATAATGCCCAACAAATTCTGACTTGCTATAACTGCGAGGCAAAGCTCTGCTGATTCTCATTTAGAAGCTATTTATCCTTTTTTAAGGTTGTTATTATTGGTTATATAAATAACCCCAGTTCCAACATCTCCAGCTTAGCTCAGCTCAGGCTCTCTATACATACAAATTAATGCCGGGGGGAGCAATTTAGAAACACCAGCACCCAGAATTCAGGTTCTACTTGTTACACTTCCTTATAATAATGTTACTTTTAGAAGTGTTTTGTGACATTATAACATTAAAAAACATCCAAAATTGCAAAATTACTGCCATTAAAAGGAAATTTGTAACATTAAAACATTTATGCCATTAAAAATAAACGTGAAACAAGAAGAGTTTACTGTTATTGAAATGGATCTTGTTACATTATGAGGTCCTTTAGAAATGAACTTGTAATAACAGAAAATTATTGTCATTAAAATGGAATTTGTTAATTTACAAGTTTACTGCCATTAAAAATCAACTGCAAATGATAATAAACATTACAGCCTTACCTACAGAGAATTACTCATTAACATATTTTTGCCTTATCAAAAATGAACACTGTTTACATCAGGTTTTGCAGTTTCAGTCAGAGTATTGAATATCCTATCATCTATGCCATGTATTAACTTTAACCCGTTTCATATCAAGCTGACACTGGTAGCATTTCCTCCACCACATCACCAATAAGAGACTGAACTCTTTAGCCACAATAAAAGCTAGCCATTGCTTTTTCTGAGCTGTCAGTGGCCACCAGTGTGTGAGTTTAGCTAGCAGATATCACAATGATTTGTGTTTACTCATAACTTTGTCAGTGCCCGTTTTAAAAAACTAGTCTCTCTGAATCTCCCTGGCTGAGCTACACAGTCATCTTCACTGGGGCTGGTATGGTAAAAATTTTTACTGTGAGGGATGGTACATCTGGAAAAAGTAACTAAACTACAAAAAACAAAAACACTAAAGGATACTTTTCTCTCTGCTTCATCTTTCCTTTTCATCCATTTTGGCCTTGTCTGCATAAAAGCAGTTAGACAGTGAGCTCCTGTGTGCCAGGGATCATACTATGTGAGTGAGAAATATCTGTGACTTTTTGCTCGTGAAGTTAACTGTTTAAAAGAATTTAAAGCTCTGTGCTCCTGATCGGCTGCCCACCACTAAACGCTAAAATTATAATATTTCAACAGCCGTATATAAGCCGAGCATCCATGTAACAAATGATTTAACTGTAAAACTGTGACAAATTACCTGCGGTGTATGATAGCAGCCTTGGTGATTTCTTTATACTTTCTCTTTTTGTGGGATAAATAAATGATAAATGTGGGAGTTAGCAGATATTTGATAAACTCATACACACAGCGGATTGCAATCAATCTCTGAGAGTTTCATTACTAACCTCTTAACTCTTACAGTTAGGCCTGTGTGTGTTTACTATTGAAATCTTAACATTGTCTAATGGTGCCTATCTGTAACTGTGCTTCATTTTAAATGAATGTAATTCATCAACCTGATTATTATGAGTGACTATCATTTGCCTGTTTTGGTGGCTCCTCCCTAAGATGGCAGCACTGTAAAAAAATATGTGAGAACCCCACAAAGTTAAGTTTAAATGCATTACCACCAATTACCCATAACAATGTCCAAAAAGTCAGCAACTAATTGTTTACTGCATACAGCTGCAGGAAAGCTCATTGGAACCGAGCTGACATTTTTATCCATACCAGGCTTTTCTTATGAATGAACAAGATGTTGATTTGCATTTGTTGTGGCCAAAGAGCTTTGGGCGGCAGAAAAAAGGAGAGAGAGAAAGAGAGTGAGAGAAGCTCAATTCCTAAAGGGGCTGATACTCACGCAACAGGAGGAACTGTCAGAAACAACTCACGCACTCACGTCTTCCCTGTTCTCTGTTTCCTATGCCCTGCAGCTGTTCTTCTGCTTAGCATGAGCCAAATTTTAAATGACAGACGTATCTATGCTGGCTGCATGAAAGAGGGATGTTTGTGACAGTTGCTCCTGCATCTGACGGGCTATTGGGCCGGTGTTTGGAAAAGGTGCCTCCTTAATAGTGACCATAACGGTTTACGATAGAAATATGGATAGACGACTTGATGGCTAAAAAAAAGTACACTTTAAGTATTAAAACAGCATCCTGTTAGTTTTGATGGATAGGAAAAAAATATATTCGACAGATTTTTGGGAAAACAAAAGAAATTCATTTAAGGATATGTCAGTATTCGCCGGAAATATATATATATATATATCTGATATATAAGTCAGAGGTGTCAAGGTGCCCTTGCACATGCCTGCCTCCCAGCAGCTCCACATCAGCTGTTCCCTAACCTGTGTACAGAAACGCGGTATTAAAAAATTGCTTCTTTGTGTGGGTGTATGTGATTCTTTTTTTCAATAGTCCGGGTTTGCTTGACATGCCAAAAAGAAATAAATAAGAAAAAAAAATCAATGCAGCTGAATTGAATTGTACCAAGAGCCCTCACAAATGTATTTTTAGGGCTTCACACAAACAGGTTTGAAAGAATCAATACTGTATAACAAATGTCATTTGAGTGCTGTGCCTAATGCTAAAACAGTAATTGATGTAATCTGGACTCACAGGTTTACGGAGACCATAGACAAACCACAAATTCTGATATGTGTATCAGAATCACAAACACACGCAGACACACACAGGAGGGACACACGTATCTACTATTTTCCTCCCTTGGGTTATACATGCTATTATAATGTGCAACATTAAGGTCAGCGGTAGACAGGAAATTTCACAGCAACAGGAAGCTGGGTTTAGCTGGAGGGAGCATACTGATTGGAGAGTTCTTGTTCAGTCATCCATAAAGATCTTTTTTTTTGATAGAGCCTCACTACTGAGAAGTG